TGCATTTCTTAGAAATTCTCTTTGGTTCTTTCTCCATAGTTTTCCCCGCTATATGCCACCCAGGCGCCCCCACTGTACTGCAGTTTTTTGTACTGCAGCCAGAGGTTGAGACTCAAGCTAGAGGTTGAGACTGCCTAGGAATATCAGTCCTCTGCTAATACTCTCTGCCCTCGTTCACTCCACAGTTTCAGGTTTATTGTGTGGATGTTCACTAGGAGAACACTTCCACCTCACCTATGACAGACTACTACCTGACTGGTCTGCCTGTCTGAACCATAAAGTGAGTCGGAACACACGTGAGGCAACTGCTCTTAGACACTGGAAAATAGGCAACACAGAACAGTGATCCTGGAGAGAAGGGAGACTCCTGAGGTAAGTCTCGTGAACGCCTAGCTGTCTGCTTAAGGATATTGTCCCGATGACTTCAACATAATGAACTAGAGTCCGAGCGGAACACTTGTGGTCCTCCTACGATGCTGAAGAGGCAGAGGTCAGGGTGGTAACAGTGGCTGGCTTCTGCAGGCCAGGGCAACAGAGAGAAGGAAGCTGGCTGCACAGAGACGATTCCCAACAGTCTGTGTGCAGACGGGGCAGAGCTGCTGTATTCAGTACAAGACTCCCTGAGGCACACCAGAAGGTGGTCACTGAGGCTGAGCACGGCTGGGGGGTGAGGGAGGCTCTGCCCAGCCAGAGCAGCGAGACCCTGCTAACACCTCATTAACACTCCAGACATCCAGCCTAGAAGGAAAAATCTTGCCCTAGAATAAGGGCTACAGAAAACACCCTTCAATAACGAGGGTAAGATATAGTTCTGTCAATGAAGCCTGAGAGAATTAATTGCCAAGATCTGCACTATATGAAATCCAATGATCTTCAGGCTGAAGGGAAATAATACTAGACAGAGATTTGGATACAGGAAGAAATGAAAAAGCACTGGAAATAAGACAACTAAATGTTTAAATCAGAACAGGAGCAGGGAGGTAAAAGGGATTATACTGTTGTAAAACCCCTTTATTTCTGAAGTGGTGTGAAATGTCAAGTTAAGAGTTCGCACATAGCTCTAAAACAGCAGTTCTCAAACTTTGTGTTCGCCTTATAAAAATCGAGGGTCCTAAAGAGCTTTTTTTTATGTGGGTGTATCTGTGAACATTTATCATGTTAAAAATGAAAACAGAGAAATGTGTAAACATTTTTAATTACAATGACCCAATGTTTATAAGACACGTTTACAAAAGATATTTTCCAAATCAAAACTTGATGAGCAGAGTAGCAGTTTCATAGTTTTACAAATGTCTTTAATGTTTGGCTTAATGGAAGAAGCTGAATTCCCATACCTGCTTCTGCATCCAACCTGTTCCAGCATGTTGTTCTGGTCAAAGTACATACGAAAAAAATCTGGCCTCACAAATGTAGTTGGAAAAGGAGGTATATTTCATAGCTTTTTCAGACAGTAGTATTCTTTGATACTACACCAAAAATTGACAAATGGGTGTTTTTAGTTTCTTCTCACAAAAATTATCTCCCAAATTATTATTTGGGTGCAACGCCAGAAACTACCCACGTCTCTGCACCGTAGTTTTTATAAAGTTAACGTGAGCTTTCTACAGTCGGGAATCCTGTTTCCCACTCAAAGCATCCAGCCCTGTTTCTTCAAGGCTTTTCAGGTTACAGAGCAGAGGCCAGATCTGGCCTCCGTGAAACTTGGCTTATTTAGAAGTCCAGTATTGGTGGAAAGTGGTTCCTTTTTCACTCCTGGGCCAGGCCTGCACAGGTGAGTTTAAGGCTCTGTTTTAAAATGGAGCTCATCATGTCTCAGGGCGAGATTGTGACTTTCTTCTCCACAACGAAAGAATTTTTCCGTCGGGTTTATCCATATAAGGTTGCTTCTCAAAACTTGGGGGGTAGTAAAGGAGGAGGTGATATAGAAGATTTTTATTGAAATAACTTAAATATTATGTAAACTGGCTTGACAGGTTCATTTTTTCAACATTGTAAAAAGTATGCCTAAAGAGATACCAAATGCAAAAGCATGTATCTCTAGGTGAACAGCCCTTTCCCCATGAAGGCAAAATTATTGAGAAGTGTTTATTTTCCCTCTTGAAACGGCTAATCCAGGGAATGATATGGCTGCAGGTGGTACATTCATGCTGCTTCCTTCGTTGCTTCTCTCCCTTAACCACTCCAATCTTTCAGAACTACATCAAGGAGATGCTAGTCTCTGCCGGGAAACACAATGATACGCAGGTCTTACAGGTCCAAGGCCCAGCGGAGAGGCAGGTTCTTGTCGTCCACGCCGGCCACCATGTCTTCAATGGCGTTCCAGTCAAGTCTGCTGAGGATGCTGCCAGTGCTCCCAGACACACTGTCGACGCCACCCACCCCGAAAGGAGGCTCTAGCTCTTCTTCGGTTGCTGCCAAGTCCTATCAAATTAAGAAAGGTAGTAAGCTGTGGTCTTAGCCTGAGGAAAAAGTAAACGGAACGTGAACTAAGCTTTCCAAAGATTCTAGTCGCTCATGCACCAACTGGCGAAGGAAATGCGAAGCAAACCCAGGACAGGGGTTGCCCAGCCCAACGGGATCGACAGTGGGCTGAACGTCACCTGACACAGCTAGACGCTGGCACCAGATCTGAAGAGTGGACACAGTGGGTTTTTATACTTGTCGTACAATGATCTGTTCTTACAGTTTTGTTATCTTTTAGTTAAAAGGAAAATGCAAAATCAAGGAAAATTCTGATAAATGCTGGAGCCCTAAGCCAAAGGTGTAGATGCTCTGAATTACCCCTTCAATCTTGCAGTATCTCTACATCCCGCAAAACAAAACAGACGGAACTAGGGGACACAGGGAAATCACCAGACAAATTGAAATCTGGAACAATGCTTACCTGTAGAAGGGAAGCAGGACTCTCGTGAAAAGTTGTCCAGGGGCTCACCACGGTCTCTCTCTCATACTCTATACGTACCTGCTTTGATAGAGGTGAAAGCTCAGCACTGATGTGTTTTTTCGTACACTGCAGACTCCCACACGGAGCACTAGAACCTTTCAAGGGAAAAGGACAAAGTTACGATGGGACCAATTCACTTATAAGTTTGTTGGTTTATTCTTTTATCATCACACCTAAGGCAGTCACATTTTACCTAATATTTGAATCACAAGGTCTGGATATGGTTCTAACAATTCCTGCCCTGTCATTGTGACAGAAGGAAAATGAATTCTGGCCATCTCTTAATTTTAAAAACAGTGGTAACCTGTAGGACAAGAGAGTCCAGGGAGGAGAGGCCACAGAGAGAATGGAACTGTGGAGAAGTTCCAGCTGCAAAGTTGGATGAACACTGTGTTGAAAAAGAAAACAGCCAGCAAAACAGAAAGACTGAAGACTGAAGGATAATAAAAAGAGAAACCAACACGTGGTTAAGCAGTATTATAACCACAAGGGCAGGCCGTGTCTCCAAAGCAGATGGAAACAAATGGAGATGGGCGCTGAGTTGTTGCTTCAAGTAGTCAGGCTGTGAAAAGAGATTAGCAAAGGCTGTGGCCACCAACTAATCCCACCTCCACTTCTGCTACAATTGACCTGGTAACTAGACTTCAATACTCTTGTCAAATGAACATAATTATTGCCATCTAAAAAGAATGACAAAATCACCACCAAAATTAAGAAATTAAGGCGAACAGTCCTGCACTTAAAAGGATAAACCTTTACCCCTGGGGTATCTACACACCTGAGAAGCTATCACTGGCTTTCTCTCACCTTGCTTTACCCAGGGATGGCTTTGTAATTTCCTTCTCTTCAGATCAGACTGCATTTCTCTAGGATTTGTTCGGGATATCCAGTCTTAAAATAAAAATACAATATGGAAACAATGCTGTGAAGCTGAGCATGTGCAAAAAAGCTTTTCAAGTTTGGGTGTTCCTGCCCCATTGTGGACAGTGAATGTTTTCAAAGGTAAAAGACCCATGATACATCAAGGAGAAACTCCACAGCAGAAACGAGGCAGAAACCTCAAAGAAGCACTCTCTCTGTGGACAGTGAACACTGCCACTCGGTGTCTTTAGAAAGCATATTGACGAACAGTATCTCTGGAGACTAGCCCGAGGAGTCCGGAGCTGAATGGTGAAACTGAATCCATTGCCTCTGCTTCCGCCAGGAGAAAACCCTGTTCCTCTTCTTGCCCCCTTGTCAATTATTGGGCCACGCTCTACACACACCCCCAAGCCACAAACGTGGAGCTGTACTCAATTTCATCCTGTCAGATAAGGCTACCACTGGGTAATGAAACAAATACTTCTATTTGCCTTTCTATGGGCAAGGCCTCATGCTAGATCGTAACACCCTTCACGAACACAAAACCCTGGACCTCTGGAGCTTGTATAAATAGAATACCAGTGTACATGTAACTTCAGCTATTTTGGGGCCAACACTGTATTTTGGGGCTATTTTATCTGTTAAACTAACATTGATAGGTATTTGTTTAGAAAATATCTGGAGAACCCCCGCTATTTTATTCTAAAGTAAACTCTATACCCAACTTGGCACTCAAACTCACAACCCTGGGATCCAGAGTCACATGCTCTACTGAGCCAGCCAGGCACCCCTTGGGGTACTCTAAACTAGAAAATATTTTGCAAAATATTAAAATGAGAGACTCTGAAAGGAGAGGGAAAAAAAAAAAGGTCTGAGATTATACGATTAAAAGCACAGGAAATGATGCTTCTAGGACTCAAACTAATCCTAACTACAGCATTGGGTTTTAAGGCATATAGTGGGGAAAACTATGGAGAAAGAACCAAAGAGAATTTCTAAGAAATGCA